AGATTAATTAATTTTACTGAAACCTTTCCAATTGTGAATGCCTATTATAATTCGTTAATAAAGCTTTATTAACTAGCCAAGAAATATAAAGAAATTCGTATAACGAATCGGCGGAGCTGAACCCAAGGTAAGGAAACACATTACAATCCTATTTTTGCATTTATTAAATAGAAAAATTATGGAAAAATAGAATGGAATTTTAGGAATAGATAGCATAATTTTGAGAGACATTTCCATTCTTTAAATAACGATACTAACATAACGCTCTACGTTTTTCGACAAATTTCTTAATACTCTACACGATTTTGTCGAAGCTATAAATTAAAACATTAAGAGGTCGATCAACGAAAAATTTAAATTTTTCAAATAATCCTCACTATATTGTTGACTACGTTACAAGAGCTTTAAAGCTTTTTCGTATTTTAATGTAAAGCTTTATTAACATTATTCAAGAATAAGAAAAATCGTAAAAGGAAACGTAAACAAAACAGTAGAAAAACAAAACTCTATTGAAATCAAACATTTTCATAGTATGCGTGCATATGTGCTCCAAGAGATAAGGCTTTACTGAGAAATGTATAAATATGAAGAGAAAAAAATATTTTATTCTCCAGAAAATAAAGAATTTTCCTTTGCGTTATCATTAATATACTACAGTTCTCTATTGTAGAGTTGGTAGAAAAAGAGCTTATATTATGTAAAATTCACCATAAACACATAAAAATGTTACATTCTAACTTTAGAGAAAATTTTGCAAATTTTGTTTTTTTGTATAGTTAAGGAGAATAGATAATAGAGTTGAGATAGATGGAAGTGGAATGGAATGATATTTAAATTTATAAATTACAAATTAAACAAAGCCCATATGGTATGGTAAGTATGTTGTATTTCTCCAAGGCAAGCAAAACTAGTTTTACTTTGTTTTAACGTTGAATGTATAAACACAAGTATGTACTTTCTTTTCTTTGTTTTCCTGTATTTCACCCCAATTTTGCAGTTGTTATTAAAGTTTCCCAATGTTTTGTGGCTGTGTAGAGTACAGTTAATGTTTTCTGCGGAGAAATGACTTTGAGTTTCTTAAACTCTTTTTTCTTTTCTTTATGTATGCAAGAAAATGAGTAGGAGTTATTATTGCATATTTTTCTAGGAAATGAGTATTTTATTTTACAATATTACATAAAACGCACCACAATATCGTGCGATGGGTGATATTTATAAAACATTTGAAATGGTTAGAGAAGTCAAAAGAAAAAGCTACTACAAAAAAGAAGTTATTGTATTTGTGCCCAATTCAGTTAAATTATATTATGTTCAAAGCAATAGTAGAAATTTAATACAAAAAAACGATGACAAATACTCAAAAAGAGAATAGAAAATTTTTATGAGTGAAAATTACATGAATTTAAAATGAACGCGTATATAATACCGTTAGGATCAAATGATTCTGAAACGATAATCAAAAATGTTCTTCAAGAATTTTTGTTAGAAGAGACGGGGGGTTGAGATTTATTATTTAGGCGCCAGTATTCTTAACGATGTACATATTTTACATACACTTGTGTTTATTTACTATATATGTTATGTATGTACGTATGTATATAATATACGCATATAAAAATATTGAATAAAGTTTTTTATGTGCATTATTGACTCATTTTTTCAAATCTAGCAAGGAATAGGAGAGAATATTGCGTGTCATTGGTTAAAGAAATAAAAAAATCTTAACTAAATCAATTGTTTTGTTAAAAAGTTTTTAGTGTTTGATAAATTTTCTTTTTTAATTTTGAAAAATATTTTATTTGTAATTCTGTACTATAGATTAAGAACAATTTTAAATAAATACTCGTCTTGTGCATCACGAGCTTTCTTTATACATACCTGCTTTTAATAAAAATATTCAATTAATAGTGGAATGTAAAAAGATTTTTGTTCTTTTCCTCTAGAAACTATGGGCGTCCAACAAAACTGCAAAATTTTTACGCAGAATATGCAATCTACTTTTTGTTAAATATTTTGGTAAACAAAAATGTAATGTAGATTACCAATTCTACTTTAGTTACAAAAAAAAATTTCCGCTTATATTGTTTCTCTTTCAATACATATCGAAATTTTAGTCTGCAAAAATATGTCAAGTTGGCGTCATTTTCGCTTGTTTTTGACATAATGGTACTAAAAATTTAGATTTTGCCAAAAATAAGAACGTCAAATTGGCTGCAGATCTTTTATTTTGATAGACGGGGTATATTTGAGTTCTAAAAAATCAAATTTATAAAATTATTTAAAATTAAACAGTACTGCATAATATACAAATACTATACAAATCTGGGCACTGCAGAAAAATACTGCAAGTAAAGAGCCAATAATCAAAAAAATTAAAATTAAGAATTAATAAGTTTCCATTTACTAAAATTGTACAAAAATTTATTGTAAACTTTTGAAACAATTATTTTAAAAATCAAAATACGGAAATACGATATTAGATATAGCTGAAATTCGTCACAATTAACTAACAAATATGGGTACGTATGCGTTCACCCCACGAATAAATTTATTTCCGTTTTCATGTTAGTTAACTCACTCAACCTCTCGAAAATTAAAAATAATAACGTAATTTTGTTTCATTTCCATTTTGTTACTTTCACTCATTCCATACTTTTTAACAAAATAATATGAGAAATGAGAATATAACAAAACAAGTTTTTTTTTTTTTTTGAATAATTATTTTTTATGAGTCTGATGATATCACAATTCACAATACAACGCCGAACCAATGTTTCTTGGGTTTTTAAAGCAAAAACTAATGACTCACGGTTTTTTTTTGCGTTTTTATTGTTTCTTTACTATTATTTTTATTATTCTATTATGATTACATACTATAAAATGAAATAGCAGTAAGTTTAAATGAAAACAACAAAGCGATAAAGCGAAGTAAAGTAAAAATGAACATGTGGCGTTTTCTAGCATGATGACATAAGATTCCGTTTTTTTTTCGTTTTTTTTTTTTTGTTTTCGTAACAGAAAATCAAGATAAAAATGCGCATGTTTTCTCTCTTTGATAAATAAATATTATACACCTCTTATTTATTACTCGTATTATATATAAAAGAATTAAATACAACAAAAATTGTTTTGAGAGAGAGAGTTGGAAAAAACCTTTTTTATTGTTTTGTTTTTATTGTTAGGAGAGTAATAACAATTTGCAAAATAAGATTTTGATTAAATTTATCGTTTTACTCTCTTTGTTTTTGTAGAAAATTTGGATAGTGAACGTGAAGTGAATGGTACTTTAGTTTCGTTATTGGGAAAACATAGTAGCTATAATATGACGAATTTTGTTTGATAAAAAAACTTTTGTCATTGTGTATGTATTTAACTCTCGAAATTTTCTTATCAAATTTGTTTTCTATATGTAGAGGAAAATACGTACTTGCAATGTATACATTTCAAACAAATACAATTAGTAGTTAAATGCTAACGTCTACTCGAAAATGGAAAAATGTGCGACAAAATAAAATAACTCCAAATTCTATTAGATAAATTTAGACAGATTAGTTGCTCTTACTTTTCTGTGCGGTTCGATTTTATCGAAATTCGGTCAAAGTTTAATAAGCAAAAGTTGATAGTTTTGTTTTGATGAGAATATACCGCAGCATTCAGTTCTTCTCAAGAAAAATTCTATGAACAACGTTTATACACAATGAAACAGATTTTAGACCTTTAGAGTACCTTTAATCAAATATTCAAAAATAGATAATGTTTAGCATTGTTTGCTAAACAACATTGCAAGTAATACACAAAAACTATTGTTTTAATGTAAATTACTTACAAAATATCAAGTTATTAGCGGTTCTAAAATTAAGGAACAATTAAAAATCTATTTGAAGAAATTAAAGTACCATTCCGCTTCAAAAAAATATTTCCATTTTTCAAACACATAAATTTAATCAGTTGATATTTTAGTTGAAGTTGAAAACAAAAAATATCCTTGAATTTTGTATATTATAAATTGTGTATTAACCACTTTATTTAGAAATTCCCCAGTAAAAAGTTTAAAATTTTCAGCCACGTTGTATTCTCGCTGTATTTTTATTTGTATCTTATTTTAAGTAAAAAACACAAAAAACAAAATTATGGAGACTTTAAATTTTATTCTCTCCCTTTGTTTTTATGCCATTTCTCTTTTTTTTTCGTGAATACAAAATATACAACACATACAATATTCAAAAACCATATGTCACCACACACTCAATTTTTATCTATTTTAAAAATAAAACGGATTACGGAATTACACAACTACAAAAGTTAAATAATATTACCAAACGAAAGAAACGACGGATAAAATTTTTTTGCGACAGAACGAAAAAAAACGAACTATTATTATTTTTATTTTACGACTCCGAGAGATTGAGAGAGAGAGAGAGAGTAAGAGAGACGAATTTCATATAATATGAAATTTATATTTTATAATTTTATTTTGTATGTGTTTTTTTTTCTGTTTCTCTCATTCTCTTTTCTCTATTTTCATCCGGAATATAACGGAATAAACGAATATATGAATAAAAAAATCTCACCTTTTGCCTTCAAATTTCAATTCTAAAACTAAATCGAAGAGTGCTTTTGATTCGTTTAAAGTTTTTTTTTTTTTGTGTTTGGTTTTTCTGTTGTTTTTGTTTTTGTTATATTAAATAAATTTCTTTTATAATTTTTTTCACCATCGTAAGCGCCATTCTCTTGTAAAATTATTATTATAAGGTTTTTTTTTGTTTTTGTAATTTTTATTCCTTCATTATGCTGTAATTCTAGTATGTTTGTGTATGTATGTACATGTTTTTTTTTTGTTTTTCTTAATTTTATTTTTTATCGAAACTTTAAATTGGATCAGTTTCCTTGTTTTAGTTCTCCAACAAAATATCCACTAAACAAAAAAAAAAAAAAATTTTGTGTTGTGAAAAAATACAAAGAAAATCCGTATAGAAGAGTCGTTCGTCGTATATTCATTTTCCAATTTAGTTTTATAAGTTTTCCTTTAGTCTACGAGCGACAACGTGTGCGAATAGGTCGCGCTAAATTTTTTCGCAGAATTTTCCCCGCAAGAAATATTTATTATAAATTTTTGCCGCTTTTACTGCTTTTATTACATGTATTTTTATATAATAATTTTTACTATATAGTTTTATATATATAAAAAAAAATATATTTTAATTAAAAATGAAAAAAACAATTTTATTAATTTGAAAAAAAATATAAAATGAAATTTATAAAAAAAATTAAATAAACAAAAATAATATTAAATTTTTTTTTCTTCTTATACTCTTTAAACAAAAATAACAAAGAGTCGTAAAGCAAAAAAGAAAAAAAAAAATTAAAAAAAAAAACAATTAGAAAAAAAAATGTTTTAACTCATAAAAAAAGAAATTTTTTTTTTAAAGTTTTGTTTTTATTTTTTTTTTTGTTTCAAGAATAAATAGAAAAAATTTTCAAATTAATTGTTGTATTTTTTTGTTATAGTTGTGAATTTACATTTAATTCATTTATAAAATTATAAGAATGTTACCAATAATATTTAAATTAAGAATATTCCAAAGAATATTTTTAATTTAAATTTTTTTTTGTTCTTTTTTGTGATTTCATAATTATAAACATAGTAAAAACAAAAAAAAAATTAAATAAACAAATTTTTTTTTTAATTAATTTTATTATAATCATTGTGCTTTTAATTATATTCTTTATTTATTTTAAATTTTTGCTAATTTTTAATCTTACTAATAATTTTTTATTTTATTAATCTTCAAATGTATTGTGCATATATTCAAAAAACCAAAAAAAAAAATAATCTTAAAATATTTTGCTTAGTTTCCCGCTTAGCTTAGAAAATTTCGCCGTTATCATATCAAGAGTATTCATAATTATATCAGAAAATCATTCAAAATAACAAAAATATATTTAAAAAAAAACTATACGGTCTTCTAAATTTTGGAAACGTTGTTCTGTTTTTTTTTTTAAATTTTGTAAAGTAGCTTAGTTGATGGTGTTTTTTGTTAGGATTGAATCCCAATTTTGCAAATTAAACAATTTGTTACGCTTTCATAAACATAATTAAAATATCATCTTTGCCTATTTTAAATTTCCATTATTATTTATAAACAAAAAAAAATATTTTTTTAATTTTTCAATATTTTAATTTAATTTTGTTTGTTAATTTTTTAATTTAAAAATGTTTTTATTTTCTTAATTATTCTTCTATAAATTTTCTTGCTTTGCAAAACTTAATTTTTTTATTAATTAGAATTTTTTTTCTTCTAGTTATTATTTTAATTTTTTATTTAAATATAATTAAATTAAATTTTATTTTTTTTTAATTTCTTTTTCCATATTTCATTATAGTTTAACGCGCGCTTTTTTCAGCTTCTCTACCGCTTCCAAATCAAATCAAAACAAAAAAACAAAAACAAAGGTATTAATCTCGTTCATATTTTTCTAAAGTTCCGTTCTTTTTTTTTTTTTTTGAAAATGAAACAAAAAATGAATTTTGACTGAAAATTACCGTTATCGTCCGACATACATAGCTCATTTACAATCATCATCAAAAAATCGTTTTGTATTTTGGATTAAAAAAGTAAACCTATTAAAATTTTTTTTCATCAAATACCTACAAAAAATTAAAAGGAAAAAAAAATATATTAGTAAAATAAAAAATAAAAGTAAAAAAAAAAATATTAAAAAAATTTACAAAAAAAAAAGGAAATTATAGTTTTTAAAATTAAGGGAAATTTTAAATTGGAATTTTATAAAAAGGAAAAAAAAAATATGAAGGAATAAGGAAATGCATACCATACCCATATATATTTAAGTTATTTTGAAATGTTATTTAAAAAAAAAATTAAATTTTGTTGAAAAAAAATAAAAATAAAAATAAAATGTAAATAATTTATAAATGTTAAGAAATACGAAAAAAAATTATTAAAAATAAATTGAATAAAGTTGAGAAAAATTTTGAAAAAGTTTTTGGAAAATAATTTTTGTTTAAAAATTAAAAACAACAGCAAAAAAAAAATATTCTTGTTTTAGTTTTCATTTTTAAATATAAAAATAAATTTTTAAGTTAAATTTATAATTTAGAAGAAAATTAGGAATAATTTTAAAACACCGTGAATTAAAAAATTTTCTTTTTTCTACTTACTTATATAATTTTAATTAATAAAACAAAATTCTTATTTTTATTTGAATTTATTCCACAAAAAAACAAATTTGTTTTAAAAATTTTTAATTATTTTCAAAATTGAATTTAAATATTAAAATATTATTAATGTATACAAAGAGAGGAGGCAGTGATATTTTTTAATAAAAACAATTAATTAATATTAATTTTTTCTTATAAAAAATTTTATTTTAAAAAATTTAATTTGTTCATAAGTAAAAATTGCAAAAACAAAAAAATTTAAAGTGAAAATTTTTTTTTTGTATTTTGAATTTCTTAAATAACAGTATAAGTTATAATTTTAAGATCATATTTTCGAAAATATTTTTTTTTTTGTGTTTATTTTTTTGTATTCACTTTCATTTTATATTTCTATTATAAAAAATCCAAAACAATGACAATGAAAATAAATTTTTTCTGTCTATAAAATTAATTTTTTTTTAAATTCATTTTTATCATATAAAAAATCACTTATTAATTAATTAGTTCGAATTCAGAAAATGCCAATAATTTATTTTTTATAATAAAACTTTAAATTTCTTAAATATTTAAATAAAAATTATTTTATTTTTTAATTTCTTTAAAATATTGTTAAATTTTTTATATCGTTAATTATTATCGTTTAAATATTGTTAATTATTCTTATATATATTGTATTTAATTATTATATTATATTTCAACTAATAAATTAATATTATATTTAATTTTTATAATATCATAAATAATTTTAAATGTTCATTTAATTTTGTTACTTTTTCGAATATTGTTATTATTAAAATTATTTAATATAATTTTTTTATTTTGAATTTATTTTCTTGTTTTTTCTTTAACTTTCTTAAATATGTCAATAATTTTTTTTTTTTAAATTAATATTAATAATTATTATTTTAAATAAAAATAAGAAATTAAAATAGGCATTCTAATGATTAGTATATATATAGATATATATATATATATTATAAAATTATTAAAATTTGCACAAAATAAATTATTTAAAGTTTTTCAGTGTTAAATAAAATAAAAGGAATAAAGCAGATATAAAAAAACAACAAAAAATAAAGCAAACTGTTAATTTTACAGCCAAATTATAAAAGTAAATTATAAATAAATAATAAAAAAAAAAAAATAGTAAAGAAAAACAGTTATCAAGAAAGAAAGGAAAAGTGAATAATAATAAGAAAATTTAATAAAAAAAATTTTCGACAAATAAAAAAAAAAAATTAAAAGTTTTTATTATTTTCTTTTACTTTTTTTTTTATTTATTTTTTTCATAAATCTGAAAAAAAACTCTTGCCATATTTGTAATTAACAACTTAAATGAAAGTCTCATTTTTAAATCAAAACTTGTAATTGTTTTAACAAAAAAAAAAAAAAAAGATCTAAAAATTGATTAAGAAAAAAGGTTTTCTCGTAAAAAACGAATTATTTTACAAACTCCAATAAGAATAAAAAATTTTTAAATAAGCAGACATTGGTTATTAAAGACAAGAACTGAAATAATAAGAAACAAAAAAAAAATCAAAAAAAGGTAAGGTTTTTTTCTGTTCCACATTTACAAAAATAAGCCTCAATTTATTATTTTTTATATTATTTTCTCAATAAAACTACTTATGTATAATAATAATCTGATAATGAGAAACTAATTCATATCTTTCTAAAACAATTTAATTAAATTTCTTTATATGACAGCAAATAACCTGACTATAAGGAGATTGCCTAAGCAAATCAATCTTAAAACAATTAGTTTCGGAGATATTAAACTTAAAGACTTATAATTACTTTTGGGAAATTTAAAAAACCCTAACCGAAACTGTATGTAAATAGTTTTTACTTAATATTTCCATATTATCTTACTTTAGTCCAGAAAGTTTGTCGCTTTTTATTTCGAAATCGCATAATTTTCCAAGAAATAATTTTACCAAATTTTGTCAGGGGCAATTCTCTTTGATCGAATTAAAAAGCAAATTTTTTTCGATTATTGAGTTGAAATATGGAGAATTTACATAAACGTGACACGAGTATCTCGATTTAGTATATAGAACGCCTAGACTTTTCTTTTCTGTAATATTGAGATATAGTATACAAAATTAAAAATGGAATCAAATTATTGTATTTTTAATAATTTTGCCGAAATGAGAATCAAAAATAAACAAAATAATAGTATAATTTGATATTTTTCTATAGATTGTTGCTCCATTATGACTTTTTATCTCCAATGTTTCGGAAATACTTCTCTGGAATAGTTCTTATCTCAATGGATATTGTATGGAGTGGATGGATAGAAAAGTTCGAATAATTTTTTACAGAACCAATTTTTGAAATAATTTGTTTCTGAATCTCATTTATTTCTCATAAATTCTAATTGGATACCTGTTCTTAATTCACAAGAATTTTATGTACTCCAAAAATAAGTTGGAATTAAATTGGAAAAGTGAAATAACGGCAGTTTTTATGAAACAGCCATTTTTTACTTGATTAATCAATATTCGAGCAATTTTTTTAATAGAATTTATACTTAAATAACTTTGACATGAACTGCTTAGACTATCAACTAATGACTTTGTAAAATATTTTAAATTTATTTATGTATTTATTGTGCATGTAGATTCACAATGCAAAAGTATTGTAGATAAAAAAATTAACCGAAATCTATTGTTTTGTTAAATATTCACTTATCGCAAACAGAGTTTTTTTTTTTACAAAATACGGGCGATAGGGGTGACATGTGTAAATATTTATTCGAATATAAATGTGCTAATAACATAAATGTACATACTTAATTATGTTATTTTATTATACAATCGAATTTACGACTAACATAATACTTAATACTCAATGTACCAGGAATCATAAAAGTTAAAAATTTTATTTAATATTTTTGATTTAACTATGAGTAAATAAATAATCTATAGATATCAATACATATGTATATATTTATATTAAATAGATATGTCAAAATAAAACCAAAATTTTAAGTGAACTGCTCCTCACAAATAAACCGCTCTTTCGATCATCATAAAATATTAAGAAATTGTTCAGAATAGTTCTGCGATAGTTTAGAAAGGGAAATTAGAAAAGTTGTCGATTTAAAGCTATATAATCAAGGTTTATATAACAAGTTTCTTAAGCTTTTTTGAACCCCGTTATAGCAAAATTGAATTGAATTAATTACAAATACTTATACTTAATCAAATTTCGAAGGAGTTTTGTTCGAAGAGTCTTGGTGAAATCTAAAATTTTTGTTTGAAAAGATTTTTTGAGGTTATCAATCCAAATCCCGTTAAGGCTTTTCTGTACTTAACTGGTATTTCTTAGATTTTATTAGAATCGTGTTACAATTAAAAGAAATATCTTAAATATTATATTCGATACACTTGTTAAAGCACTAAAATTTATAACTAAAAAAATGTCACTTCCTTTTTTCAGAAACATTATTTTGTGATTCTCATACACTATACAAATATGTAGGTAATTTTCTAGGAAATAGACAAAAATTTGAGTTGATAATGTTAAGAATTTATAAGTATATAAAATTTATCTAAAGAAGATTTAATTTTAAAGCCGTTAAAAAACACATAAATATTTTCGAACAAATTATAGAATCATCTACACCAAAAATAAGTTATGACTTCAGTAATTCTTAATTTTTTTTTAGAAAGTTGCACATATTTTTTTAATATTTTTTGATTAGTTTTAAGCCAAAATTAACGGCGCAACTGGATGAATTTTTTATTATACTCAAAATATAATATTTATTTTTTTTTATATCATCGCAATTTTTAGAATTTATTCACATTGATTTTCCTTTTTTGTTAATTAAATCTAAAATACTTGTTTTTTTAAAACTGTAAAAGTTGAAATTTATTAAAATTTTTATATTAAACTTAACCTTGGATCCGTACAAATCCGTATAAATAATAAAAATACACACTTACTTTATTATAAATACAAAATAAAGAAATTTTATTTATTTTTGGTTTTTTTTTTTTTGCTTTATTAAATTCTACACATTTATATCGAATTTTGCTGTTAAAACTAGAGTTTAAAATTATGTTATCAGTTTTTATATTATAAGCTTTGTGCATGTATGTATGTATATAGATGTGTAATTTTTATAAACATAAAAATTCACAATATACACTTAATGAAAAGTCAGGTTTATGACATTTAAAGAGTAAAGATAAATAATAATGTTTAAAATTAAAAAGAAATACAATTAAAGTATTTTTTTTATGAGAAAAAAGTGAGAGAGAAAGAATAGCAGAAGAGAGGTTTCATTCGATAATAATTCTGTGGTTTCAAAGAAAAACTTGTTAAGTTTTAAAGTAAAAAAAAGTAAAGTCTACGTAACTGTTAAATAAATATTGAAATTTTGATTTTTAGAACGGAAATTAGTAAGATTCATAGATTGTTTTGGATTATTTAATCTGAAAGTAACCCAAATCTTCTGAGAGACAAGAGTTCTGAGGTTGCAAATTAAGTATCCATTATATTAAAGTATCTAATCCAGCACAGAGTTATTACTGTGTAATTTTTTACAGACTGTTTGCAACTTTTTAGTTGTATGTGTTGCAATAAGTTTACAATCGAGCACTAATGTTTACCGAAGCGCTTAAGTCACTTATAAATTAAAATTTCTAAGTTTGTTATTTTTGTGTACATTAACCATATTTTGATAAAATATAAGTTTTTGCAGTCTAAACTACTTATATAAAATTAAAAAAAAAACTGAAGTTTTATAAACTAAAAACTAATGAACTTGTTTTAGATAGTTCTTTCATGTAACCACATATTTAATATGTATACGCTGTTTTTTTATCATAATTTGTAAGTAAGTACCGGGAAAGCGTTAAAAATGCAATTAAAACGGCGTCAAATGATTAAATTAATTTCAAATTTGTATTTTTAAGCTTAAGTAGCATATTTCTTATATTTTGTTTTCGATCTTTTCACTTTAGTATGTACGTAGATTAATAAATACATGTTATATATGGAAATTGTAAATAAATAGTAAGTACAACAAAATAACAAAATTTTAATTGAGAAATACAAAATAAGAAAAAATTGGCTGAAAGTGAGAAAACTAAAATAAATGTCGCGATATGATTTTTTGTTTACAACTTATTTATCGTTGTATAAAAATTACCAAATTCAATGACTAATAAAGAGTTTACAAATTGCTGTTTACGTAATATTTTCAAGTAAAAATGCTTCATGAGCCCACAAGTAAATATTTTAACTCATTATTTACTAAATTTAATTTTTGTATTGAAATTTCTATGTTTACAATTAATGCCAAATTTTCTGGAAAAAATATTGACATTTTATAATTGTTATAACTTGAAAGCTGACAGAGAAGAAAAAAATTGCTTATACGAAATTATATTCGAGAGGGCATTTCGCTTCATTGGGAAAAAGGAGAATAAATGTTTTTAGGTGAGAAAGTTTTGAGTTTGGTTTTCTATACTTCGTTTATTGCTTCCTTGTTTAGAATTATTTTACTGTAAAATTGGTATTTTTTACATTTTACAATTGATATTGCTAGTTAGCTCGAAAATATATTTATTGTAACATGCATACACAAATATATATTATGTACATATCATATGTACATAACACAAAAATATTAGTTAAGATCAATTTTATAATTTGTGTTTACCTGCCTTAATTAAAAAGAGTTTAAGATCGTTATGTGTGTATTTCGTTTTGTGAAAATAATTTAAGCAACAACGAACTATGAATAATTTTCATTAGATAATATTATTGCACTTGTATTTGTAATTATTTTTTGATATACACACATAATTAAATTTTTGACTCTAATATAATATACATATGTATGTATGTATGTACATAGGTGTTAAAGTTAAAAAAAAATTTTGAATGTATAATGAATGAGTGTTATTTACCTGTAGTAAATATAAAGAAAAATAAATAACCATAAATTCGTGTGCATTATAAATTATTGAGAATATGGATACGAGTAAATATTATGTACATATGTATGCATGTATGTATTTAATAAAATATGTTTTAAGATAATCTCTATTAAAAGCTTTAACTAAGCGCGGTGATTGCCTTTTTAATATCATCAACGATCAATAAGTATACATTTATGTATGTATATGACACATTGCTGATATGAGAATGTGTGTACGTATGAGTGTATTTTGCGAATACAATATTTTCAACTCTTCATGTTTTTTATTATTCATTAATAATGTTTGTATGAATATTTTTGCAAAAAAAAACACAATGTGTGTGTTCTGAGTCTATTAATGAACCGTTATATGTCTAGAAGTCGTATATTTCTATTAATCACAACCTGTTTTTTGTTCTCAAATAAATTTCGTATTTTTTTTTTTTATAATTAAATTATTTTATATAAAAAGCATTCTTTTCATTTCTTTTAATATTATATTCTTGATTAATATATGTACTTACATTATACCCATGTTTGTACAGATGTATATTTATGTAAAATACATAATGCATGTATGTTTTCATGATAGATGTTTTCATGACGTA